AGCGGTTCATCCCGTTCTCCAAAGAGCAGCTGCTCCGCCTCCTGATAAAGGTACCGCCCGTCCCGGGTCCAAGAGCCTGGGAACTACGAATCCCGGCAGGCCTCGCGGCGGTACAGCCCTTCATGCTATAGAGGGCTGCCTTGGCGCCCCCTGGGAGTTGTGGTTCCTGTTCCCTTTATAGGCCCCAGGTGGGCGTGGAGTGAGTTGGAATGCAGGGGACTGACCTTTGAGATGCAGATAGATGCAGCAGCAGTTCCGGACTCCAGCTTGTTCTGGGGGCTGGAACAAGCACTCACTGGGGCATGGTTTTTCCCTCTACAAAATGGGTATAATAATCATCCTCATCATTACTATTACTACTGCCTAATAATAATTATTATACCCACGAAGCTATAATTATAATGATATCACACAGAGCTCTTATTATATGGCACTATGCTAAACATTTCCCACATATTATTGAATTATTGAACAACCCAATAAGAGAGGTACCACCATCATTCTCATTTTACAAATGAGGTAACTGAATCAGGAAAAGGGCAGTGACTCATCCAAGGTCATGACTAGTGGCCCAGATTTGAACCAAAATGGTCTGACTCCACAGCAGGGCAGGGACAAGGGTGAGGCAAGTAGGCACTTGCTCGACCCTAACAGCTTACCCCACTATTGCCATCATACTTGTGATTATTCTGTATTATCATTCATTCATTTAATAATTATTGATTAAACACCTATATGGACTAAGTCCTGTGCTGGGCTTTATCCATACACAAAAGTATATGTACACACACATAAACACACGTGTATATATACGGACACACATAATCACATCACATTCTCACCATGGCTTTTTTGAGAAAGAGGGTATGATCCTCCGTTGCCGATAAGGAAACAGACTCAGAGAAGTGATGACATTCACCCTGGGCACCGAGATAGGAAGCATAAAAAAGTGGTTAAGTATGTGTGCTCTGGAGTCAGATAGGCCTGGATTGTAGTCTCAGCTTTTCTTTATACAGACAGTGTAGCCCTCAGCAAGTGACTTCTCTGAATCTAAGTGTCCCCTCTGAATAATGAGGGTTATAATTCCATCAACCTCCTTGCATCCTCTAGAGGATGATATCATGCAAGCAAACAGTGCCTGGCACACAAATAAGGAGTGACTCCTGGCCAGTAAGTGTCAAAGCGGGAACCTGAACATCTAGCTCTTCAAGTCATCTGTTTTTCACTCTCTGGAGCGACCTCAGTTTCTTGGCCAGTGAAATTGGTCAACCCTTGTCCCTTCTAAAACACGCCCAAATTTTAAAGAGCCCAGAGCTCTGATTGTCTGTCTGGGTTGCCCAGGAAAGAATTCCTCCCCATGAAGAAGTAGGGAGAGGCCTAAAGAGAAGTTTTGCTTCCCGAGGTAACAGGAGTTCCATTCCAGTCCTGCGGAGAAGGCGGCTTTGGAGGAGTTCGTGACCCACGTGAACTTTTGCACCTTGTTCCACTACCATCACATCCTGGCCCAGCTGCAGGTGAGGACAGGGCCCCTCTGGCCCTGTCATCCTTGTTTGCTTATCCATTCATTAAGCAAAAGTCCTCTGAGCGCTTACTTGGAGCCTGGCCCTGTTCTAAGCACTGGCAATGCAGCAGTAAGCAGAAGAGATGAAGCCATGCCCTTGTGGAGGTGACATTCCAATTGGGGAGATGATAAATCAATAATTGTAAAATATGATACCCAGGAGTTGTAAGTGCTATCGAAGGTAGAATAGAAAGGGACGAGAAGGGCACCTGTTTTAGACAGGGTGGTCAAGGAAGCCTTCTCTGAGCAGGTGACAGGTGAGTTAAGACCTGAGTGAAGCGATGCAGCGAGCCTCATGGGTGTCTGAGGAAGGACATTCCAGGCAGAGCGAAAAGCAAGTGCAAAGGCCCTGAGGTGAGAGAGGGCCTGGAGTGTTGGGGGAATGACAATGGGACCACTGGCTGGAGGGAGAGAGGGCAAGAGGTGAGAGCAGAGAAGGAGTCGGGGAAAATTGTGCCTGGCCTTGTGGGCCATGCAGAGGACTTGGCTTTTATGCTAAGTGAGCTGGGAGCCGCCGCAGGTGGGCTCTGAGCAGAGGAGGGTCATGAGCTGATTCGGGTGTCAATAGGATCCTTCTGGCTGCCATGTAGGGAACAGGGACATCTATTAAAGAGTCTATTATGTTTGTCCAAGTGAGAGATAATGGCAGCTCCCACAAGGGTAATAGCAGTGGAAGTGGTGAAAAGTGGTCAGACGCTGCTAATGGTCCGAAGGCATCAGCATTCGGCTGTGTGGGCGGGGCCTTGAGAGAGCGAGGAGTCAAGGGGGCCTCCAGCG